TACGATTGGGTTACTAGCATCTTTAGAATCAGAACAGCCAGTCTTTAAAGTACTAAGGGAACTATTCACAAATTTATCACTACATTTCGGACGAGCACAGGTAGCATCGAATATTGGCAATAATTTAGGTAGGTTTGTGATAGGATCTTTTAAAACACTCGGGAGAAGAGTTGGGTCAGTTAAAAGTGGCAATAACGCTGCAACTGGCACACATTCAAAAAATTCTGGATTCACGATAATGCTTAAAAAAGCAGCCTGACATTGTGGTGATAAGTCCCCAATTAATGTATTAGGATCTTCGGTAGGAATTGATGATGGCAATTCTGGAGTTTTTAGTGCTGGAAGATTAGTCGAGAAATAGTCTTCTGAAAAGTTTATGGCCTTGACCAATCCAAAGATCATAAAAGTAACAAAGAAAAACGGTGTATAAAAAAATGTTAACATTTTGTTTATTAATTTTTGTTTTGTATAAAGTAAATACCCATTACCCATTATTTATATAGAAAAAGTTAGACATCATGCTGTCATAACAATTTGAAGCATCTTTTGGAAATAAATGTATCACTACAAAGAAAAAAATGGTAATAGAAAAATACGTATAATTTTGAATTCGATAGGCAAAATTCATATTATGGAATATATAATGTTCATGATACTCATACTTACATATGACTGAAATTCACATGAATGGGTTTTGTAAATCTACTATTGGAGAGTAATTCAGTAATTCATTGTTACAAGCATTTAAATGCGCATGATTGCAGACATGACGCGATCCCCATCTCTAATCTTAATCACTTTATGTTTTTGATTGTGCGACACGAAAATGCAGAAACCAAAAATTGAAATACTGTATATCAGTGTTGTTAATGTCACTATTTGGACTTTTGAACTATGGTTATTTACTCGGTTCAAGTCAAGTCATAAGACATCGGATTAGTTAAATAACTTCAATGTCCAACGATATGCATAGTATATGCATAGTATATACTTATTTTATTGGTTTATAATCATACAATTACACATTTTAGATATACTCAGTTAATAGATTATAACTTATGTCACGGCTGATGCTGAATATCACATGAGAATTCGGGCCGGAAATTGCAAATCGCACATCGATCATGAAAATTCTAAACAAACGTCTCTTTTGTCAAAAATCACCAATTTCTCAAAAATCTGCATAAGAAACAGCACTCTATACATTAACAAAAAGTTTTCCTTGAGCGATTTTACTATATAGCCTTCTAAATTCTAACACTAATATAGGCGATAACCCTAAACACAAACGAACTTAAAGAACTTTGTAGGGTGAAATTTTTGATGGCTTCATTTCAGTTAGGGTTAGTGCATACGATATGGTTAGGTGTTAGTTGATATAATAGCAAAATTGGCCCAGAAAATTTTTTGTTAGAATGCTAAAGATTGTTTCCTATGCATTGATTTTTTCTGATCGACCTGCGATCTGCAATTTCCGGCCTGTGATATTCAACATCAGCCAAATTCAGCATCAGCCGTGACATTAAATAAACGATTCATTAGTTCAAATAGTTAATTAACATTGTCTCGGTTAAATTAACAACACTGATTGGGAAAGTTCAGACAGTGTCTAAAATTGGGTTGCGGACCGCAAATGATTTATAAGTTGCCGCAACTAAGATCTGAAATGTATATGCTGGTTCCGCAACTAAATTTTGTGAATTTGCATATAGATATGTTCGAATTTATAAATACATTCATATGCGCAACTAAATCCATATAATCCGCAAGTAAAGTTTTTTATTTAGTTGCTGCCCACAACTAAATTAAAAATTGAATTTCAGACACTGAACTCAGACACAAGTTGTCAAGATAACTCAGGATAGTTAACGAAGATAGGATATGAAATTAATAGTATACTTATAGACAAATAATAATACTAGATAGTCATCGCACGAAACTAGGAAGGCAGAAAATTACTGGTCACTGCTTATAATGATCTCTCTGGTGCAATATTATTTGCTATTTCTGAAAGCATATTTTGTTTTAATAACACACAAATCACAACTAATTTTCAGAAAATCAAGTTAATATATGATATATAGATTATTTCAAATCAATTAATAAAAATATAAGCTGAAGCGACTTGAATAAAAAATTGTTCATCGACCAAATCAGCACGGAAATAAACTACAGTAATAAAGCTAATAAAAAGCGCATACATTGTTTTGCATACATTATTAACAAATTATTTTTATGCTTTCCGGTTAAATTAACCTAAATAAGTGACTTACAGCTGTTTTCATAATTTCTGGGAAAAAATTAGCCGAATGATTTTCGGCCGATCTGGTTAATTTATTTCGGCATAATAGATTCAATAAAAATTGGTACGTATGTATGTATGCAAATTTATTTTATTGAATCTATTATGCCAAATAATAAATTAACTGGATCGGCCGAAAATCATTCGGCTAATTTTTTTTACAGGTGTCCCAGAAATTATGAAAAGTGTAGTAGTGATTTTTTTTTGATATATGAGATCAGGGTATAGATAATCTGATATAATTTTTAAAATTGGTATTTTACATCCTCTTACTATATAATTTGGAGTTCCTATCCATTTATCCATCGGATATCAGATCAGAATTTATTCGGATATCCGTTTTACAGCTATTCTCATAAATTTTGGGACAATAGAAAAATTTCTGATGACCGAATTCGATAAGTTACAGAATCCGAACCAATACCGAATTTAGAAACTTATCGAATTCAGTCATCAGAAAATTTTCATTGTCCCAGAATTTATGAGAACAGCTGTAATATCCGTTTACTATTGATATCTGGATAATTATCCGAATACATGTCGGATTATCCAGATATCTGAGCGATTTTGAATTATTAATTATCCAGATCTTTTGCAATTTTTAATTTTAAAAACCATTCAGTATGATCTGCTATTGGTATTTTATTAGAAACTTTAATTGATCAAATATAATTCTACTTGAGCCATACTAAACCAAATAGAAAAAAACTCTTTATAACATAAATATCAATATACGTAAAATAGTGTAACATAGTTAACTATTATACTTTTGCCGTGTAACATTATAATAGTTTTTGCAAAGTTTATAGTCTAGAGTATACTTTAATTAGTATACTACATGTATGTAAATAGTATATAGGTATATAGCTTATTTAGAGTCTAATTCAATATATATAGAGAGCGATATTCTTGTAAATAGGAGAAAGTAGGATTTTAGAGTTTAAGAAGGTTTTTAGGAAGTACTACTTTGGGTTGTAGTTGGAACAAGGGATATTTTAGAGGACCATAGTGTACCAGGTACACATATTAAGAAGATACTTACTTGTATCGCTTGGATTATTAGTATTTTTGGTGCCTTGTGTGTGTTAATAAATAATTGGACATATAAAAAAACAACTTTACAGCAAAACCTGATGACGAAGTCACCGAATACGCGAATCTAGTTTAGTGTATAAAGGTGAAAATAAATATTTATAATCTGAGGTATTTGAATAGATTATACAAGTTCGTGAATCTTTACTATCAGCAGTTCAACTTTGCTTCTGTATACATAATTATTAAACTATTGATTGTCTATTTGGGTATTTATTTTTGAATCCAAAGTGTTATTACGTTATCCGAGTTCAAAAATAATTACAGTACCATTTTATGTATTACTAGCGTAAGACCCGTCGCGTTGCTCCGAATTTAAGTACCTTTATATATTAATTTTTAGAATATCACTGTGATAAAATATGATATATAATCAATCACATTACTAAACTGAACTATCCATATATGTTATTAGCTAAATTAATGTATATACTCTGTATAAGTTTCAATAATCTTTAGTTATTTTTCATATTGTTTAATATGATAATGTAAAGCTTGACAAAAAATAGTGTTGCTAGTAAATGTGCACTGCATAGTAAAAACGTTTTGATTTCTCTATATAGTGTTAATGTATTAATTTTTCAATTGAAGTAAACATTCAATTAAAGCGCTGCAGTAACGTGATGATTGATATGTATTGTGTAACGTGATGATCGACATGTGATTTTAGTTTATCTCGGTGTTTTCTCTTAGTTGTTTATCTATCCGTAGCAAATTATATAAGAGATATAATATTAAATTGCCGTAAGTATAACCATCTCTTATCCTGTTATTAGTGATTTAACAGGTTTCAAATTTATTACAATTAACGGGTAATTTATTAATACCCGGGTAAAACTTTTCTCGACGGGTACAATCTCTAAATTAACTACCGCAAATGTCCTGATATAAAAGAATGAGATACATATTCCCTGTGAAGGTACACTTGCTTCGCCATATATATTTGCCCTATAAGGAAAAAGATTTTGCGGACGCACACCATTTTATTCTCCATATAACCATATTATTTGATTTAAAAATTTTACTCGATAAGTTAATCGCATTGCATTTAATTTTATTTTTTATCATCATTCACCTATTAAGCAAGGTCCTTGTAAAGCAAGGAATCAAGTATTTTATACATTTAAAGTTAGGATGGAAGCGTTACAATGGATGCGAAGTAAGTTTTGCGGACGCACATCATTTAATTTGCATACACTTCGTGAAATTTTCAATATCACTCCGTTCCTGGTATAAGCAGTCTGTATACACAGGTGCCTAAATTGCCCATCTTACAGCTGTTTTCATAATCCTAACAAAAAAATTAGCCGAATGATTTTTCGGCCGATTCGGTTAAGTTATTGATTTCGGCATAATAGATTCAATATGAAATTAAAGATCAGGTGACTAATATAAAATCCCTATAAAATTCTCGTTCTAAAATTGTTCGAAATGGTGTCGATTTTCCGAACAGAGGTTTACTCTTATACTGTTTTCATTACGGGACGTTAAAATAATGTTTAATTAAATGCTTATCGTACAAAAACGTATAATATCCAATAAACATCCTGTAAATATTCAATACGGAGATTACTTTATAGGGCAATATTATAAAACTACATACGCATATCTGCTTTTAAAGTATCTTCGTTGCAAATGAAAAAAAAACTTTAGAAGTCTTATTAATTCAAAAAATTGTTAAACACTTTGGTGTTTTACAAATCGAGTTCTCAAGCACTTAAAAGAAATGGATGCGATAAAAACTTTTGTATATAATATATTTATTATAAAGTCGAATTTATATTCGAAGACTTTTTTGTATTTCTCGATATATAGTCTTTTTTATAATTTTTTATAGAGGAATGATTTTCGTACATCAGTTTCGTGTAACCTCACGTACATCAAATTTTTTTTTGACAAATAAAATCTCATTATTTTTTTTGTCTTTTTAGATGCTGATGATTTTATTTGATTTTATTGGTCAAAAAAAATTGATATACGTGATTCCTCTTTTTTATAAATTTCGTAC